CTCGGCGCCGCAGGTTCCACTTGGCTCGGAAGCGCTGCACCCATTGATTCACATGCCGGCGAGGCGGCAAACCCTCCAGGAGGCTGCCAAACCGCGCTTTCTCCCACGTGGCATAGACATCCAGCGATAGCGGTGCTACACCGACGTGGTTGCAAGCCAGAACCCAGTTGAAAGTGTTAGCCTAGAAAAGCGGCTGCATGCCGCACTGGCCGTGCCCACGGAGTCGCGGAAGGTGAAAAAATGTGCTGCAAGTCTAAGTCTGTGGTGCTCAAAAACAAATCTTCCACCACAACCCGTGTTGTCCCTGAGGTCGGCTTGACTGCTGGCCACAGGGCAGCGAAGCGAAGCGCTAGCTCCATATTGCAGTCCGACAACACATAGACGGCAACGATCGCTTTGCAAGCAAGAGGGCTAAAACCTCCAGAGGCTGCTTCCTTCTTTGCTCGGTATCTGGCATGCTTGGCTTGCACTCCGGCCGCTCTGTTTCTGGCAAGGTCTGCTTGCAAAGTTGCAATGGTTTCTGCTAAAGCCACTGGAGTCGCCGCAGGTGCGTGAGCCATGGGGCAAGGCTGCGGCCACCTGGGTGCTGTCTTGGATGTCTTTGCATGGAAGCCTATACCCTTCTGTTGCTGGGCTGTGACTCTGTGGCATATGAATGCGAAAAATTGGTGCTGTTACAGCCATGTCCTGTGACTCATGTGGCGCTGGATCCACACCGAAGGCCCGACAGAGCTGCTGCATGCAATCTGTGAGTGATGGCTGAGCGGCGGCTGCAACAGATTCTCCATGCTGACCTAAACACAACCTCCTGGACTGCAACTCCTAGAAGGAACCCTTGCAACTCTGAGAAACAATGCACGTGCACCATGCACCCACATGGCAGAAGCACAGTATGTCTGCCAAAGTTTGCTCTGCCGCGCAATTTTTCTCCCGGCTCGCACCTCGTCACAACAGAGCCGTGTACGCGTACGCCATACGGCGTCGCTCCGGCCAGATGCTTTGCAAGGCTTCTTTAGAGGGCTTGCTGCCTGGAGGCATATGCAGTGGCATATCCATAAACTTTCGCAACTCCGTATGGAGGTGCGCCGTATCGGGCGGCTTCGCCGCACCAACAGATTCAAAAGTGCGTTTCCAACTCTTGCCGGCAAAGTAGCTGGGACACTGCATGAGTTCAAAAAGCCAGGCTAACGGGTCTATCAAACCCTCACAGGAACCTGCCCTCAGTTCCTGGTACTTCCTCTTCAAATGTGTTTTCAATGGGTGGAAACCTGCTATATCTAACGGTTGGATTTTGTCTGTACATCGGGCTGGTATGTACAGGAGCTGGACACCATTGCGCCGAGCGCACACCATGGTTTCCTTTGCGAGATGTGAGGACGCAACATCCAGCAACAAGATAGGTTGAAATGGATAAGGTTTTAAGACTTTGCCTAGATCGCGCACAATCTTGGTGATGTTCTTGCAGGATGTCCAAGCACTTTTCTGACGTACTATGTGCAGCGCCGTTTGTGGCAAGCGCCGCTGGCCCCTCAGCAACTTCTGTGTCAGCTTGGTCTCAGTCCCAAAAAGGTAGTGCGGCAACTTGCCTTGAATATGCGGCGCATCACAAATGATGCTCACATAGGTCAAAGCCCCTCGCACGTCTTGTTTCCGGACAGGCATGCGAAGACTGGCATGTCGTGGCAAGCAACGCAGCCGGGCAATTGCAGCATGGTGTAGGGAATGCTAGTTTCGTCTAAATTCAAAAACAGCGGAGTCTTGTCCACAAACTTCGTGTTCACGTAGTAGGAGAGTAACTGCCAAAAGGTTCTCACCTGACAGGGCGAAGCCGAGCAGGGAGGCTAGGAAAACATGACCACATGTGGGAGGAGGTCCGAATTGAAATGAGCTTGCCCGGCCCCATTTTTGGAGCCGGAAAACGGTCGCAAAAACACGACCGTGCTTGGCGCCTTAGCCTGCACCGTGACTGGGTCCCTGTGCACTTGTGGACGTAGGACTCGGCGCCGCAGGTTCCACTTGGCTCGGAAGCGCTGCACCCATTGATTCACATGCCGGCGAGGCGGCAAACCCTCCAGGAGGCTGCCAAACCGCGCTTTCTCCCACGTGGCATAGACATCCAGCGATAGCGGTGCTACACCGACGTGGTTGCAAGCCAGAACCCAGTTGAAAGTGTTAGCCTCTGCCAGAAAAGCGGCTGCATGCCGCACTGGCCGTGCCCACGGAGTCGCGGAAGGTGAAAAAATGTGCTGCAAGTCTAAGTCTGTGGTGCTCAAAAACAAATCTTCCACCACAACCCGTGTTGTCCCTGAGGTCGGCTTGACTGCTGGCCACAGGGCAGCGAAGCGAAGCGCTAGCTCCATATTGCAGTCCGACAACACATAGACGGCAACGATCGCTTTGCAAGCAAGAGGGCTAAAACCTCCAGAGGCTGCTTCCTTCTTTGCTCGGTATCTGGCATGCTTGGCTTGCACTCCGGCCGCTCTGTTTCTGGCAAGGTCTGCTTGCAAAGTTGCAATGGTTTCTGCTAAAGCCACTGGAGTCGCCGCAGGTGCGTGAGCCATGGGGCAAGGCTGCGGCCACCTGGGTGCTGTCTTGGATGTCTTTGCATGGAAGCCTATACCCTTCTGTTGCTGGGCTGTGACTCTGTGGCATATGAATGCGAAAAATTGGTGCTGTTACAGCCATGTCCTGTGACTCATGTGGCGCTGGATCCACACCGAAGGCCCGACAGAGCTGCTGCATGCAATCTGTGAGTGATGGCTGAGCGGCGGCTGCAACAGATTCTCCATGCTGACCTAAACACAACCTCCTGGACTGCAACTCCTAGAAGGAACCCTTGCAACTCTGAGAAACAATGCACGTGCAGCATGCACCCACATGGCAGAAGCACAGTATGTCTGCCAATGTGTGCTCTGCCGCGCAATTTTTCTCCCGGCTCGCACCTCGTCACAACAGAGCCGTGTACGCGTACGCCATACGGCGTCGCTCAGGCCAGATGCTTTGCATGGCTTCTTTAGAGGGCTTGCTGCCTGGAGGCATATGCAGTGGCATATCCATAAATTTTCGCAACTCCGTATGGAGGTGCGCCGTATCGGGCGGCTTCGCCGCACCAACAGATTCAAAAGTGCGTTTCCAACTCTTGCCGGCAAAGTAGCTGGGACACTGCATGAGTTCAAAAAGCCAGGCTAACGGGTCTATCAAACCCTCACAGGAACCTGCCCTCAGTTCCTGGTACTTCCTCTTCAAATGTGTTTTCAATGGGTGGAAACCTGCTATATCTAACGGTTGGATTTTGTCTGTACATCCGGCTGGTATGTACAGGAGCTGGACACCATTGCGCCGAGCGCACACCATGGTTTCCTTTGCGAGATGTGAGGACGCAACATCCAGCAACAAGATAGGTTGAAATGGATAAGGTTTTAAGACTTTGCCTAGATCGCGCACAATCTTGGTGATGTTCTTGCAGGATGTCCAAGCACTTTTCTGACGTACTATGTGCAGCGCCGTTTGTGGCAAGCGCCGCTGGCCCCTCAGCAACTTCTGTGTCAGCTTGGTCTCAGTCCCAAAAAGGTAGTGCGGCAACTTGCCTTGAATATGCGGCGCATCACAAATGATGCTCACATAGGTCAAAGCCCCTCGCACGTCTTGTTTCCGGACAGGCATGCGAAGACTGGCATGTCGTGGCAAAGCAACGCAGCCGGGCAATTGCAGCATGGTGTAGGGAATGCTAGTTTCGTCTAAATTCAAAAACAGCGGAGTCTTGTCCACAAACTTCGTGTTCACGTAGTAGGAGAGTAACTGCCAAAAGGTTCTCACCTGACAGGGCGAAGCCGAGCAGGGAGGCTAGGAAAACGTGACCACATGTGGGAGGAGGTCCGAATTGAAATGAGCTTGCCCGGCCCCATTTTTGGAGCCGGAAAACGGTCGCAAAAACACGACCGTGCTTGGCGCCTTAGCCTGCACCGTGACTGGGTCCCTGTGCACTTGTGGACGTAGGACTCGGCGCCGCAGGTTCCACTTGGCTCGGAAGCGCTGCACCCATTGATTCACATGCCGGCGAGGCGGCAAACCCTCCAGGAGGCTGCCAAACCGCGCTTTCTCCCACGTGGCATAGACATCCAGCGATAGCGGTGCTACACCGACGTGGTTGCAAGCCAGAACCCAGTTGAAAGTGTTAGCCTCTGCCAGAAAAGCGGCTGCATGCCGCACTGGCCGTGCCCACGGAGTCGCGGAAGGTGAAAAAATGTGCTGCAAGTCTAAGTCTGTGGTGCTCAAAAACAAATCTTCCACCACAACCCGTGTTGTCCCTGAGGTCGGCTTGACTGCTGGCCACAGGGCAGCGAAGCGAAGCGCTAGCTCCATATTGCAGTCCGACAACACATAGACGGCAACGATCGCTTTGCAAGCAAGAGGGCTAAAACCTCCAGAGGCTGCTTCCTTCTTTGCTCGGTATCTGGCATGCTTGGCTTGCACTCCGGCCGCTCTGTTTCTGGCAAGGTCTGCTTGCAAAGTTGCAATGGTTTCTGCTAAAGCCACTGGAGTCGCCGCAGGTGCGTGAGCCATGGGGCAAGGCTGCGGCCACCTGGGTGCTGTCTTGGATGTCTTTGCATGGAAGCCTATACCCTTCTGTTGCTGGGCTGTGACTCTGTGGCATATGAATGCGAAAAATTGGTGCTGTTACAGCCATGTCCTGTGACTCATGTGGCGCTGGATCCACACCGAAGGCCCGACAGAGCTGCTGCATGCAATCTGTGAGTGATGGCTGAGCGGCGGCTGCAACAGATTCTCCATGCTGACCTAAACACAACCTCCTGGACTGCAACTCCTAGAAGGAACCCTTGCAACTCTGAGAAACAATGCACGTGCACCATGCACCCACATGGCAGAAGCACAGTATATATATACATCTACATTTTTTTGGCATCTATGAAGCATTGTCAGTGGTAACTTTGAAAAAATATCATGACCCCTTCGCATTTTCACCCCCGGGTCCCTCCGACCTGAACCAGCCGTAGACCTTCCTGGGACGATGAAAGTGTCTGGCGAAACCCGAAACGCAGTTGGCTGACAAATCCCCTATATATTATATACCCTCTGGTTATTTAACATAGCCATGGAAAATCCCTTACAAATGGAGGTTTTAATGGGAAAATCATCTATAAATGGGCCATTTTCCATGGCAAACCAGAGGGTATATATATACATATATTCCTATAGAGAGGGAGATATAACATATAATTATCTACAGATCCAACATCCTGTCACATAAATCAAACAGAACAGAATTCACAGCACATCAACTCACCAATCAAACAGAAATTCAAATTTCACAGTTGCTTTTTCACTCCTCTTGGAAGTTTTCTCCCAATAAACTCAGACATCTTCCAGATACCCTCTGGTAAACTAACAGTTCGCTATGGAAAATCACCATGAAGTTCGGTAAATCAACTATTTCAATGGGCCATGTTCAATAGCTATTTTCACATAACCAGAGGATTTTTGTTTACTGTAGTATATATATATATAGCCATTAATAACCACCATGTATCACCATATATAGCCAAGCACCATGAATCACCATGAATTCACTATGAATCACCATTAACCATAGATATTTCCATATGAATCACCATTAAATCACCATTAAATCACCATTTTGACATATCCAGGTCTGAGCATCTTGTCCACCGGATCCATCTTCTTGGGATCCGCCACTTTGGAGATATCGATGGGTTCATCCCGAATGGGACCACCTACGTCCCGACCCCAAAAAACGGGATGGGACTCGCGGACCCGGATGAAACGCCGATGGCATCGATGTTTGTGTCGCGATGAAACGATAGACAAAATCTCTGGTTTTAGAATCAAAAGTTGGTGTAATCCGATGTTTATCCATCTAATATATCTAATTTACATCTATATCCGTCTATATCTGGTATCTGCTTCCTCTAGTCCACTGCGGATTGGCCTAACCTATTTTTGGTGGGCCGAAGTTCCACCCCCATACCGAAGATCGGAACACCGATGGGACACTGATGGCATGAAGACCTCAGGACTTCTTGGAGTGGTGTTTATTGCGATTATGACCATAATGTTGTTGGAAACTAGATTAATGATGATCAATGGTGATTAATAGTGATTAATGGTGATTAATAGTGATTAATGGTGATTAATAGTGGCTAATGGTGATTAATGATGATAATTCCCCGTCAATTACCATTACTGGTTGGTGGTTTTAACCATATTGAAAAATATGAAAGTCAATGGGAAGGATTATCCCATATATTATGGAAAATAAAAAATGTTCCAAACCACCAATCACATAATGTTGTTGGAAACTAGAACTGGTTGGTGGTATACCTACCCCTCTGAAAAATGATGGAGTGAAAGTCAGTTGGGATGATGACATTCCCAATATATGGAAAAATAAAAGCCATGTTCCAAACCACCAACCAGAGAATTATGATGAATTACCATTCTCATTCATTATTGTTATTACTGTACTATATTGTACTATCATGTTTGTTTGATGATCATTAATAGTGCTAAAAGTATTTATTTTTTAAAAAAAATGACTGTTTTGTTTGACTGTACAGTTGCAGCATGTGTAAAAAACAATCCCTCCGCGCCTAGCACCTTGATAAATCCTTGGTCGACGGGACGGCTAACCCCGCCCAGTTATCATCCATCTATTAATAGGCGTTTCATGAGAAAAAGAAACATTTATGATCACTATTTCATCTAAAAATTGGATTTTAATGGGCTTCCATTGAATGATGTGAATGGGATTTTCCATTATAAACCATTCAGCCATTGAGGTATCCCCATTTATGGAAACCCCATGGATCATTTTTGATGATCTTAGTCTCAACTCAACCAGAATCCTTGGTGGAGCGTTGAAAAAAGAACACCAGGCCCCGAAAGCATTGCACCAGACATACCTTTTTTAGTTACCTCAAAATTCATCCCCACTCGCAGTCTCCAAGTTCATTGAGTGGGCCATCTGGGCCACATTTTGTGGCACCTTTGGTTCAGATCCTCCACCCACTCAGTCACTGCACCCAGCCCCAGACTTCACCAGGCGACCGTGTTCATAGTCGAAGCACCAGTCGATCGGATAGCTGCCGAGTTTCAGAGCCTCCCCAACCTCACACGTTGATGTCTGGGATGAAAAAAATGGTGACGTCTTTCCATCCTTGATATTCATATTATATATATATATATATTTATTTATTTATTTATAAATATATACACACATTCATATTCATATTTTATCATCATGTCAGTTTTAGAGCTGGAATATAAAATGTGAAGGAAACCGCCAGTGATTGATGGTGCTGATTCATGGTGACATCCCGAAGGCCCTGGATCTTTTGACCATCTTTTAGCAATTTCCCTGCAGGAGTGCTGACACATCCTATTTCAAAACACAACCACCTCGTGGTTGGAAATCGATTTCCCGCATTTTTTCGCCGCTAAAAATGCTATGCTTGGATACTTTGAATGTGGTATCCCGCCCCTTTTGAGACCCATTTCATGCGAAGAAGCGGTCTTGGCTTTGGCATACTTCTCGTAGCCTTGGCTGACGTCAACTTGACGTCATATCTCGATATGGGGATCAGCCCAGTGATGGTGGGCAAAAACTCTCCCGGCACTGGGGGTATATACTTTTTTTGTCGCTGCCGGTTGCAAATGTATATTATGGGCACTGGAGCAGTGTCAAGGTCCTTCTCGCGTTGCGACCCTGGCACAAAAAATCCCACATCCAAAAACTGTCACTTTTGACAAGTGCCTTTGTACCCCATGTCACCGGATTAGTTCACAATACCTACAGTAACTATAGTAACCAGCTAGTTCCCAGCCTCTTGGTTATATTACATGCCCTCTGGTAATTTAGTAGTTCACTGTGGAAAATCACCATGTTTAATCGCTAAATGATCTGTTCTTATGGACCATCTATGCCATAGCAAGCTGTTCCAAAATACCGGAGGGCATCAAGTTGGTGATTTGGTTATCTCATATATCATATCCCCATTATAGATATATATATATATATACCATCTGGTTATTTAACATAGCTATGGAAAATCCCTTATAAATGGAGGTTCCTAGCTGGGAAAATCATCTATAAATGAGCCATGGCTTCCATGGCTATGTTAGTCATAACCAGAGGGTACATAGTTTCATGAGATTTCCATGTTTGCCATGAAATATGCCATTGAGTATGTTTGACCCGTCATTAAGGATTATGTAACCATCATCAACCATTATTGACCAGTCATCAACCATCATCGACCATGTTTAACCAGTAATTAACCATGGTCAACCATTACGAACAATATTTATTAACCATCATTAACCATAGATATTCCCATTAACCATAGTGTTCCATAGTTGTTCCATAGATCTCCCAGAACAGTGGAGCGTTAAACCAGGTGAGGGACCCCAAAACAATCCAGAATATATTGTGTTTGCTGGGGAAACTATAAAAAGTACCTTTTGGCTTGGGGTACCCCTATTCTACAAAACACGCATTTATAGATTCTAATAGATGATTGTCCTTTGAAAATGTGTGGTCTAGTGCAAGAATATGGGATCACGAGAACGGGGCGTGAAAGCCACTGCCATTTGTCCGCATTCTGGAGGGGTAGATATGAATGCACGCAGTGGCCACCAGGTAGTTGATGGCACTTTCCCTTGAAAGACAAAATCAGGGCTGAAACACCCCTGGCATATAGTTAAACCAGTATAAACCATAGATATTCCCATAAACCATAGATATTCCATCAATATTCCCATTGACTATAGATATTCCCATCACTCACCCATTGTTAACCCATCAAAAGAAAACACTAGTCATAATCACTATTAATCATTCATAATCACCATCAATCACTATAAATCATATAAATATTCCCATCATTAACCATTGTGAACCTATATTCACCCATTTTTACCACTATTAACCATTGTTTTTTAGGTGTTCCAGTGTTCCATTATTAACCCATCAAACAAAAGAAACATGGATATTCCCATTTATATATCAACATTATTGAAACCATTATAAACCATAATAGATTTTCATAAACCACCATTATAAACCATACATATTCATAGATATGTCCATTAAAAATCATAAACACTATGAACCACCACTATTAACATCATTAAACCACTATAAATCATAGATATTCCATTGATGTTCCATAGACATTTCCACTTAAAAATCATAGATATTCCCATAAACCATAGACATTTCCCATTAAAAATGGTGATTTTCTATAGCTATGGTTATTTTCATAGATATTCATAGATTATTTCCCATTGAATAATAGATATTCATAGATTATTTCCCATTGAATAATAGATATTCATAGATTATTTCCCATTGAATAATAGATATTCCATGATATTCCCATCAAAAATAGCAATAAACATATTCCCATAAACCATCATGAACTGTTATTAAAAAATAGCAATAAACCATTCATAGATTATTTCCCATTAATAGCATGGTGATTTTCTATAGCTATGTGACAGTTTACTGACCATAGATCCTCCATAGATGGGAATATCATGGAATATCATAGAAATTCCCATAAACCATAGATATTCCATCAATATTCCCATTGACTAGAGATATTCCCATCATTCACCCAATGTTAACCCATCAAAAGAAAACACTATATAGTCATAATCACCATTAATCATTAATAATCACCATCAATCACTATAAATCATATAAATATTCCCATCATTAACCATTGTGAACCAATATTCACCCATTTTTACCACTATTAACCATGGTTTTTTAGGTGTTCCAGTGTTCCATTATTAACCCATCAAACAAAAGAAACATGGATATTCCCATTTATATATCAACATTATTGAAACCATTATAAACCATAATAGATATTCATAAACCACCATTATAAACCATACATATTCATAGATATGTCCATTGAAAATCATAAACACTATGAACCACCACCATTAACATCATTAAACCACTATAAATCATAGATATTGATCAACCCTCCGTCGTCCCTCCGTCTCGACAGGTCCGAGCGTCGGATGTGCGACTTCGAGCCCGGCGCCTTGGCGTGTGGCCGGTACGCGATGCGCGTCTGGCTGGTCCAGCGGGTCACGATCTCCTCGGGCACGGCGTTACGGCGATTTTTTCAGCCGGGATATCTATGGCTAATGGTGATTTAATGGTGGTTAATGGTGATTTAATGGTGGTCAATGGTGATTAAAAAAAGTGAATTAATATTAGGGAATATCTATGGTTAATGATATCCATAATTCATGGTGATTAACCACTATTATCTATGGGAATATCCATGGTTATTAAAATATAATGGTGATTAATAGTGGTTATTAATGCTGATTTTATGGTGATTTTATGGGGATCTTGTGGTGATTTGATGGGATCTGAATGGACTTGATTCGGTGATTTCGAATGGGATTTTTGATCGAAAATCATCGAATCTAAATGGGCAGATGATGCGGATATAGGATATCAAACCAACTTGAGATGAGATTTTGGAGGGTAATAATGTTGATTTGATGGGACTTAATCGGGTTTAATGGATCTATAGTTTATACTAGGCTTTAGATGGTGTTTCAAGCAACTTGATATATTTCCCCAAGGGAATGTCCAAGAGTTGGGTGCAATCTGCCACAGTTCCTGGCAATATCCCTGTGAATTGGGTATGGTCATCCTACAGTCATTAGGAATTCTAAACAATTCACAATTATGTTCGTTCATCAATATAATTATCCAACTAATCCATGTTTCATGGTCACAGTCATGGCTCTCCCTGTTACCCTCTGGTAAACTTTTACATAACTATGGAAAATCACCATGCTATTAATGGGCAAATCCACTATAAATGGCAATTTTCAATACAAGGTGGGGCCCCCCAGTTATAAGATGGTTTATAAACCCCATTAACTATGGTTATAGGATGTTATAGGTACCATAAACCAAAGTTATTGGAGTTATAAACCAACTTAGCTATCTAGGGGGCCCCACTTTGTAGCTATGTTTGTTTACCAGAGGGTATGGGAAAATAGTCCAACCAGGTGACCATATGAAACATATGGGCTCACCATCCAAAAAATCACCTGAAGAATCGAAGTTTCGTCGAGTGATGGCTTTGTTTCATATGTTCCACAAGTGGGGGATCCCCAATAGCCTAGCTGGTTGGTTTATCTCATGGAAAATCCAATGGAAAAAATGGATGATAACTGGAGGTACCTCCATTTTTCAAAGGAAACCTCCATATGATAAATTGTGGCGGGATTAAATGCTGAAAATTGGAGATGTTGAAAACCCATCGAATCATCATCTCCATTTGGTTGGAAGGTTGACGAAAAGTTTGACGTGGAATGGAGCTGGAAAATGGATGGAACTCTCCTGTTTGCGAGGATTTTTTTCAGCAACCCGCTTTTAAAAGCAGAAATAAAAACCGAAGGTAATGAAAATGAAACCGTCAAAAAAAAATGTGTTGAAACCACAAAAAACTAGTACATAAGGGCTCATATATGTTCATATGATTCATATTGATAAATATCCCAGTATAAGGAGATATTTGAGTGGTAATGGATGATAGTTGGATATAATTGGGACATTTAAACTGATTCTCCCTTCCCCGTCCTTTATGAAATACTTTTCCATGCCCGAATCCCTGGTTCCTGTTGAGTATTGGAGGTAATCATTTTCAACAGTCATCATCAACTCTGAAGTATTAACTCTGATCATGAATCATAAACCATTTATTTTGATCGCTTCAGAATTGGGTCCCAAAAATTTTCGGAGATGTCCATCTATTGATGGCAGTATTTTTTCCCCCAGTTCTCAGCCATGTTTTGGGAGAAATGTTCCATTTTTTCTCAGCCATCTTTTGGAATAGCCCTACTGCTGCGAAAGCTGCGAAAGTCTGATCCCGGTAGGCACCTCAGTGATCCGCTGAACGACAAGAGTAGGGCTACGGGGTGAGTGGATAATATGGTTGATACAATGGTTAATATAATGCTTAACAGTATGCTTGATATAATTAATATAATGGTGTTCATATAATGATTGATATGGTTAATATATCATGGTTGCGTTTTTGGGGGTGAAAAATCCCCAGTAAATCAACGTGATTTGGCAAAGAAATGGGTTGACCTCATTGTTTTTTTTAGTGGTCAATGATGGTTTTGCTGATGCTTAATGGGAAAATAAGCATCAATGATGGTTAATTATTGGCGGTTAATGATGGTTAATGGTGGTTAATGATGGGAAAATAAGCAACAATGATTCAATGATGAATATGTTTTTCAGAACTGGCATGCCTTCCCAAATGACCAACACAACTTGCTGGAAAATCACCCTGTCGCAGTAACATCCTTTTAACCAGAAAAAGGTCAATCATCGGACTCAATGGACCATGCTTTGCGTCGGGTTTGATGATTGGTGAAGGATTTCTAGGTCTCACTATGAACGCTCTCTCCAAGGGCACCAAATCTCATGACGCTATTTGCCTGGGGTCAAGAGGATATAATAGGATTCATGTGCTTAAAACAATACTAAACCACCCATGACTGGCAATGATCTATATATATATTACTAATGACGACGACCCCTTTCGGGGGAGGGACTTTTACGGGTGGATATGTTCCAGAGCCTTCGGACCAAAGGACACGTGATTTTGATATATTTTTTTTGAAATGTTAAAAAACATGTGTCCCTGAAACAATGGGGTTATAAGCAAAAAAGTATGGGATTATAACTAACAAAAAATATGTTATAACCAACAATAGCAGGATTATAATTTATAACCAACAATAATGATGTTATAACAAGACTAAACATGTGTTGTAACCAGCAAGAATGGGATTGTAACCAGCAATAATGGGTTGTAAGCAAGAGTACTACGATTATAATGATTATAACCAAAAAAATATTGATACTATTGGCCACCAATAATGGGACAATCACCAACAGTAATAAGATGCTAACCAACAATAATGGGACCATAATTATAACTATAACCATCAATAATGGGACTATAACTTTAACCAGCAAAAATGATATTATTTATAACCAACAATAATGGAAATCAAAACCAATAATTATGGGATTTAAAATTTATAACCAATCATACTGGGATCGTCGTATCATAACCAACAACAATGGGGTTGAAACCCTTTTCTGGATACCAATAAATTCATCTATCCTTTGTGATTATCCAAACATGTGGGATCACCCAAATATCATCTAAAGGTTTATGATATATGGTTTAAGTGATTTAAGACTCAAAATCCCCGAAGGCGCAAGATAGCCGAACCCTTAGATGAGTGTCACAGCGGTGGCAATGGCACTGCTCAATGCCAGTGCTGTGTTTTTCGCCCTGCGTCTGCCTAAGTCCTTGTGCCACATCTTGTGGCAATTGAGTCGATTCGATTCCCGCACGGCCTCTGATTCATAGGCAATACATATAGGTATGAAAGTGAAAGTTACACTATTATTACTATTACCTTTACACAAAAAAAACATTTTTTTTCTACACATGCTACACATTACATTCACACAGCGAAAGGTTTATAAACAGGAATGTCTCATAATGTCAGAGGCCAATTATCAAAGCTCAATCCGTTGGGAGCTGCGAGGAATAGATCTGATTCTAAAAGAAACGTTTTTTTGCAGGTACATCACTTCGACCTTTTGGGAAATCTTACACAGCAAAACGAATGACAAAACCAGAGCTACACCCCCCGGAGAGCAATGCCAACAACTGAGAACAAGATTTCCAAACAAGTGCGCTAGCTTTCTTCGCACAGTACCTTAAGTACTTCAAGCCATCAAGCGCTTACCCAAACCAGTAACAACCGGAAAAAAAACTATCGCGACTCTAAATGGCGACACTCACTCAGACTCACTTCTTCTCCTTTTTCTTCGACCCCTGCTCCACGTTTGTGAAGAACTTCTGTTTGTCTGTGGCTGACACTGGGTGGCACTTGACCTTGGGAACCCAAAAAAAAAAGGGAAAATCGAAAATCATGATATATAATGCCATGGTGAACATCCCCAAATAGATGGACAGACATATGTCAATTTCAAATTGACACAGACGGAAATCATCAGTCGTACTGGGCATTGTTGAAATCGTATAATGACTATAATATTTATTTGTGTCGAATGACCCCACCAAATATACTTCCTTGGAACTTGGAGTTAGGTGGACTTGATTGTTTTTAGTTTTTCCCGACTCCCAAACCGACCTACTTACCAAACTTCAGTTTTTTTGGCGTAGTCCAGTAATACAGTAACCATGAAAATTTGAATCAAAATGCACTTGTTACTGGGAGTCCCTTAAAAAATGAATCCCTCTTGATGCTTGGATGGTCAGCCCCAATCTTAACAATGAATATTGAATGTGGTACAAATTTCAAATGCGTTGTAACTGGTAATAGTAAGAGTCGTGTATGACAATTTGTATGCTTGTCTGCCTCTGTGTCTGAGCCGTATGTAAGTAAGTATAGTAAGTATAGTAAGTATAGTACGTATGTAAGTATGGAAGTATGTATGTAAGTAAGTATGTATGTATGTATGTATGGATGTATGGATGTATGGATGTATGGATGTATGGATGTATGGATGTATGGATGTATGGATGTATGGATGTATGGATGTATGGATGTATGGATGTATGTATGTATGTAAGTATGTATGTATGTATGTATGCATGCATGCATGCATGCACGCATGTATGCATGTAGTGTGTGTATGCGTGTGCGTGGGCGTGCGTGTGCGTGGGCGTGCGTGTGTGTACGGTGAAGTTTGAAGTTTGTGTATATGAAAATCTATGAAGTATGAGTGAAGTAGTTCAACTGCAGCATTTGGGTTTAATCCCGAACCCCAAGTGTAATACTTCAAAGTTGGAGCGAGGATCAGGCGGTGTCTTTGCCTTTCTCTTACGTGTCTTCTGGCTGGGGGTCTTGGGGGTCTTTGGGGTCTTTGGAGTCTTTGGCGAGCGTGGACCGGGAGATCCTGCCTTTTCCTTTGTGACAGAAGCCTTTGCTTTTGCTTTTCGTTTCGGTGTGGATTTTGCCTTCGGTGATGGCTTTGGTTTTGGCGATGCTGTTGCTGCTGCAGCCTTGGCTTTCGCTGTCGCCTTTGGTCTACCTCGTGGTTTTGGCTTGGCTTTTGCTGCGGTGCTCACCTTTCCTCTGGGAGGGTTGGCAAGGGACAAATCATACTCGAATCGTTTGGAAGAGTTGGATAGTATCTCGTATGCGTTGCTCAATTTCTGGAATTCCAAAGTAGAATCCATTGAGCCACCCTGTTTGTCTGGGTGACATTGCTTGCTTCTGGTCAAGTATGCTTTCCTCAAATCAGAATCTTTCACATTGGAAGGTACCCCCAGAATTTCATAGTGGGTACGGGTGTCCACTACAATTGATTTTTCTGGTTTCTTGTCCGGATCTTCTGCTGGGGGGGGGAGTGACAGTCGAGGGAGCCCGTCCTCCTCTGAATCTGGAGATGGGGGTGTTGGCGGTGGTACCTCCAAACTTGGCTCGGGATTCTTGGGAATAGCATCATTCTCATTCTCAGATTCACGCTGTCCCAGAGGAAGTCGAATAGGAGTGTCGGGTGATGGTGGGGTAGGAAGAAACGCATCAGCTGGATTGTCTGGCTTGTGTTTCGATCCGCTGCTGGCTGACGTTGACTCTTCAAACCCCGTCTTGACGTCATGAATGATGGTCTCAGTCTCACTGCCACACCCATCGCGCACTCCTGTGTCCTTCCGTTCATTGGGAAGATAATCTCCGCCTGCCCCACTTCGCTCCTGAAGCGCAGAGAACATGTCAGGTAAATTTAATTTGGGTAAGGGGAAAGGGACTTGAGGAAAAGAAGGTAGGAACACTTTTGTTTGCTACTACAAGGCAGGATTGATAGTTTCTGTATGGTTCCGTGTCTGTCAAAAATTTTCATTTCCAGAAAGTTTAAAGTTTGAAATTTGAGTTTGAATTTAGAAGAACAATACCTCTGGTTTTGGGTGCATTTCGATCTGAACGTTGAAATTTGGCCCTGGAAATTGGAAATCCCTTTTTTTTTAGTTCATACCGTGTGATCCCAATGTTTACTTTGAATTGAGACCTCCAAACCCACCCCCACCACCAATGGTCATGCCTCCTGCTGGCCATTGACGATCAACACAGCGGCTGAAAACATCTCTGCCCAAGCTGCCTTCAATAAGTCGTTGGCACCGTTGAACATGGGAAGGTCCAAGGCGGTCTCCAGACGCTCTTGTGTTACCCGACAATCTCTGAGCCAGCGAACGAATGTTGTCACACACGATGAACGTCGAGCAATCAAATCCTCGCTCTCTTGATCTTGTTTGTCACCTGGTACCTGGGCCGGGCCATCATAAATCATGATCTTGGAAAAATACAAATCTGATCTGAAATCTGAACAAACCGAAACAAACAAACAGTCAAAGATTAGTAAGAGGGTTCTGTTTAATTGAAATAAGCGTTTGACAGTTGACAGTTTAAAGTTTGACACTTGGATAATAAACTGATATTTGAACTTGTTAGACGAGGTTTAAAATGTCCAAAGGCCAGTTACACGTGCGGAAGACAAGTCGACCAATATTTGAATGTCTTTCAGCAAACTTTTTCCCTCTGTGGCCAGGAATTCAATCTGAAGGTCCTGTCCTTTGTCATGTTCTTGTTGAAGAGTTTCCTCTAGTGTCTCGTTCGTCTTGGGGATGGTCTTGGTCTCAGTCACAGGGTCCAACTTGGCTGTGTGGTCTTCATGTCCCTCACGTGTCTCAACCCCCACTGGCTCAGCAATGGTTTCACCACTGCCGGGTTGTTCACTCCCGTGTGGATCCTGCTCACTTTTGACAATATCCTGCTGCAAATGCTTGACCATTGAAAGCCCTGACTTCCACTTCTTGTGAACCT